ACAGCAAAGAGTGTTTAACTATAACACTCAGATGTCACCACATGACTTGAGTAGAAAGAGCACTGATCACAAGTCAGAACTGGTGCTGGTGGCAGGGAGGTGGTAATAATCACACCCAAGGTTTCTAAAAATTCATGGCAACACAAGAGGCTACTGTTACTTTCTTAGTTGGATTATCTCTGGAGTCAACAAAAGGCAAGCACCAACTTTATTCAGAGAAAATTTAGAGAACGAGAACTACAGTTAAGCCTAAATTTGCAACATAAGCTTAAAAGTAAATTTCCCTCTGCTCAAATTCAGATAGTTACCATGTATTATTTTAGTACCTACCTGGACTCAAAATTCTAATCGTGAAAGGAAAATATATTAAAACAAACAAACACACCTGCTGATTCACCAGAGACTGATTTACTTTTCTTTTTTGCTTCTTGTAGAGATTGGTATGATCTTTGTCCCACAGGCTCATCCCCTTGGATAGCTGTAAGATCGTGCATACTAAAACTTCGTAAACGTTCTGTTATTGCTCCTTGGCTCTATTTAACAGAGAAGTGAGAGATTCGAGGAAAAAAGTACACTTTAAAATACTTAGTATGCTTACATTTAAATTCCTCCCAACACTTTATCATGAAGCTTTATTGATTTTATTATGAAAATTTCAGCAAAGTTGAAAGAATTGCAGAGTGAACACCCATATATTGTTTACATTTTCCTGTATTTTATCACATATCTACTATCAATCTATCCGTAAATCCATTAAAAAAAATTTTTTTAACGTTTATTTTTGAGAGAGACAGAAACAGAGTGTGAGTGGTGGAGGGCAGAGAGAGAGGGAGACACAGGATCCCAAACAGGCTCCAGGCTCTGAGCTGTCAGCACAGAGCCCGACGTGGGGCTCGAACTCATGGACCGTGAGATCATGATCAGGGCCGAAGTTGGATGCTTAACTGATGAGCCACCCAGGAGCCCCTCAATCCATTTTTTTTAAGTTTATTTATTTTGAGAGAGACAGAGACAGAGCAA